GGTGCTCGGGTCTCCATATCGGCCCTGCCCGCCTCCCCACAGGCTCCGAGATGATCGAGACCCAGGAGGACATTTACGTGGGCTCCATCGAGACGGACCGGGGCGTGCGGGAGCAGGTGCGGTTCTACGACACGCGGGGCCTGCGGGACGGGCTGGAGCTGCCCAAGCACTGCTTCTCCTGCACCGACGGCTACGTGCTGGTCTACAGCACTGACAGCAAGGAGTCCTTCAAGCGGGTGGAGCTCCTCAAGAAGGAGATTGACAAGTCCAAAGACAAGAAAGAGGTGAGCAGCCCAGGGGAGAGGAGCTGCAGCGTGGAATCTGCTCCCCTCATTCCAGGTTCTCACACAGGCACTCTCCGTTTCTCAAGGCTGTCACAGAGAGTGACAGGGTCCCTGTTCCCTAGGACTCTCACTTGTACCTGGCTACTGGCCTGGCCTGCTTTCTGAGTTTACAAGCGCTCAACAGACCTTTCAGTTTTGGGGCTGGTTTGAGACACACAGGCCCAAACAGGAGGTGAAGCTGCCAGGAGGAAGGGCTGGGAAATAGTGTTTTAAAAGGCCTCAAAAACAGTCACCAAAGCAGAGCCAGGCAGAACTGTTCAGCTCTTGTGTTCGGTACCTTCAGGAATTCTTCTCACCATTTTTTTACCAGGTCACCATTGTGGTTTTGGGCAACAAGTGTGACCTGCAGGAGCAGCGCCGGGTGGACCACGAGGCAGCCCAGCACTGGGCCAAGGGAGAGAAGGTGAAGCTGTGGGAGGTGTCAGTGGCCGACCGGCGCACGCTGATCGAGCCCTTCATCTACCTGGCCAGTAAGATGACACAGCCACAGAGCAAGTCTGCTTTTCCCTTGAGCCGCAAGAACAAGGGCAGTGGATCTGTGGATGGCTGAACCTTGTTTTCCCTTCCACTGCCACCTCCTGTCCCTCACCTCCCTAATTCCCTCACACGTGCCTCCTGCTGGGCCTGTTTGGGGTTGTGGAGCCTGCAGGAAGCAGAGTGGCATGAGGAACAGGCATCCCAGGGCTGGGGGATGGTCTTCAAGGATGAGAGAGGTGACCCATCTCCCTTCACTGGGACTACTCCTTTCAGTGCCCAGACTCTGCAGCTGTGCGAGGTGCTGTGGGAAAGCCAAGATTCCCCGAGTGACACCCCTCTGGTCCCCGGGGCAGACCCGAGGGAGGCACAGCCAGGGGCTGGCCAGCAGGTGGGGATCAGCTCCAGGGCTGAGCTCAGCCGGGCCACTGAAACAATTCCCTCTCTCCAGCTGCTCCGTTTTATATTTACTGCCACCATGTGGGAAGAGCCCGTTTGCTAGCCCTGTCTCCAGCCCAGCCAGTCAGAGCAGCTCTCCCTTGTCCTACCCCAGCTGGCTTTGCGGTGCCACCTTGTTCCCGGCAGGCTGCCCCTTACCTGGCACTACCCACTGCTCCTTTACCTGCAGAAACTGCCAGTAATCCTGCCCTGGTGGGTGCTGAGCAGGGCAGGGTGCCTGCAGCCAGGTGCCTGGGGCTGTGGCAGCTCTCACTGCCCATCTGTCACGGTGCTGACTCTCAGAACCACCACGAGACAAGGGAAAGGTGGCCCAGTCCTGCCCAGCAACACGTGTTCCCTTTTGTTAGTCTGGATCTAGGAGAAAAAAAGGACAAATGACAAGAGCACCCTGGCTTCTTTATCCTCGTTCCTTTTATTTACTGAGTAACACAATAAAGCGATGAGATTCGATTATCAAAATATTTTCCTTTTTTTTTTTTTCCCCAACAGTTATAGTACATCAAAAAATATACAATGAACGTTACGGGAGGGGTACTGGCCAAGTCCCTAGAGTCTGTTTATTCCATCGTGGTGGGGTGTTTTGTTTTCTTGAGTCAAACTGTTCACATCACTCCAAGGGTATGTACAGAGGGGCACACGGTACCGAGCACTATGGACTATGCCCTATCACAGCACAGCTACATCAGAGGCAGAAAATGCTTTGGATAGCGCGGGAGCAGGGAGGGACCTGCAGACAGGGATGCCAGGGGGAGGCTGTTCTTACGCAGCTGGTTGCAGTATTATTGTTATCAGAAGGAATGGCTTTCAAAGGGTTAAAGTGCCAAGTGTAGGAGTGTGTCAGGACTCCACTGGTGAGGGCTGATGGAGCTGCTGGCTCCAGCACAGGCTCTTCGGAACGAGATGCAGGGAAAGACTCAGCAGCTCCCGGCTCCCTGTGCTCTGGAGGCTGGTGGGCAGTTCAGGAGGGGTTGCTGCTGTGGCCGGGGCTGGGGCAGCCTGGGAAGGGCACAGTGAGCTGGGGAGAGGAGGGCTGGAGCCATTGAGCCACTGAGCCATGGAGGCACAGCCATGCTGTGGGAGCTGCATCCCTGCCAGCACCAGCTGCTGTCCTGTGGGACACGGGGTCCAGGCTGCATGTGTCCCATTGGCTGTGGGACCTGACAAAGCCAGTGCTTCTGGGAGCCTTCCTTCCCTCGGCTGCTCCCTGAGCCAGGTCTCCCACCACCACTGTAAGACCTTTTGGTCATCTCTTCCAGCCTTCCACACAAGCTCACTCTTCCCTTCTCCTGTTGCCCTCTCTCCACTTCCCCGCTCCCCTGGGGCATAGGGGAGATGCTCTGAGCAGATGAATCCATACCTAGGCGCTCCCTCTCTCCCGTGTCCCCTGCAGCAGTGGCACTGTGGGTCAGTGCTGCCCACGGCAGGAGACACAGACTCTCCAGATGCAGGCACATGGCTCCATGTCTCCCCGCTCCCTTGGTGCAGGTTTCCTGCCCTCGCCTGAGGCTCCAGCTCCTGCCAGTGCTGGGAAGTAGACGCATTTCAGCTGCATGAGTTTCTCATTGGCTGGGTCCCCCTCCCTTCCCCTTGCCAGGACCTGAGTGTTGGTGGAGGGCGCTGGGCAAAATCCTCCTGAACTCGAGCTGCAGCTTATGGCCAAGATGTTGGACACAGGTGTGTGTGGGTTCCGAGGCGCACAGCCCGCCCGGCCTTCCCAAGGGCTGCAGCAGCAGGGGTCTCTGAGCCAGCACCCGGGGCTCGGGGATGAGGAGGGAATCGTCTGCACAGAGCTCAGTGTTGTGTTGTGCTTTCTGCTCCGACCACCACTCCTGTCTGCCAACGACGGGAGACACAGACTCTCCAGATGCAGGCACATGGCTCCATGTCTCCCCGCTCCCTTGGTGCAGGTTTCCTGCCCTCGCCTGAGGCTCCAGCTCCTGCCAGTGCTGGGAAGTAAACACATTTCAGCTGCATGAGTTTCTCATTGGCTGGTTCCCATTCACTTCCCATTGCCAGGACCTGAGTGTTGGTGGAGGGCGCTGGGCAAAATCCTCCTGAACTCGAGCTGCAGCTTATGGCCAAGATGTTGGACACAGGTGTGTGTGGGTTCCGAGGCGCACAGCCCGCCCGGCCTTCCCAAGGGCTGCAGCAGCAGGGGTCTCTGAGCCAGCACCCGGGGCTCGGGGATGAGGAGGGAATCGTCTGCACAGAGCTCAGTGTTGTGTTGTGCTTTCTGCTCCGACCACCACTCCTGGCTGCACAGACAGCTTGAGCACCAAGGAAAACGCAGACAGCAAATGCGGCGGGCGAGCTGCCCCTGGATTGCATAGATCGGGGTGGGTTGTCACTCCAGCGTGAGGTCCATTTGGGTTGCAACTTTCCTGCCTGTTTGTATTTACAGCAGTGTGCTGGGGACCCGGGGCGCTGTGGTTACAGTTTTCAGACCAGATCATCGCTGGGCTTTCTGAGCACAGTGAAAAGCAGAGCTACAGCTTCAGGGTCCCTCTGCAGCCTGGTTTTCCACAGGCTACGATGGGACCATTGCAAGGAGAGAGCCAGGCAGAGGCTGCAGGTGCCACCTGCTCCTTCATACCTGATTGTCCAGGCTGCGGGGGACACCTTTGTTTGTGGGAGTCATCAGTAACTCCCTGGAAGCTCCTAACGAAGATGGGGCAGGACAGCCGGGCATGGCAGCTGCAGGCAGGCGAGCAGCAGTGTTGCCTTTCACTGGAGAACCAAAAATGCTTTAGGGACATTCACTCAGCCTCACAGCATCTCCCGGGAGGTAGGGACAGGCCTGTCCCCCACAGCTGGGACAGAGGCCAACAGCCGGCGCCGAGCACAGGGGCACCCTGGCACTGGTGGCTCTCACTGGGCTGGAACAGAGCCCGTCCCCAGCTGCATGCCCCAGTCGTGTGCTTCCCAGGCCCAGGGCAGGGCAGTGTGCTTTGGAGGGGCTGCAGCTATTGCTCTCGGAGTGAAGGTACGGTCAGTGCCCGCCACGGCGGGGGCTCTTTGGCTGGTGGGACGTTGTGGGGCAGAGGGGGCTGGTGGGCATGGAACCCCCTGGCCAGCACAGGCAATTGCGGGGCTGGCGAGGGCATAGCCAGCCCCTTCTGAGAGGGGAACCACCAGCTTTCTGCTTGTGCCAGGGTAATTTCTCCCAGTAAAAGCTGGGATGAGGCTCCCTTTACAGTTCCCTTCCTACTGGGCTGGCAGGGACCAGCCATCCAGAGGGATGCTCATTCCCCAAGGAGCAGCTGGGTCCTCTTCTTCCCGTCTGGGACCTGGGAGGGCAATGAAAAAGAAGCCAGCAGGCTGAGGACAGGTGGGGCTGGCCGGGCCCTGCCGGGGTGTCTCGCTCCAGCAGGAGCCCGCTCGAAGCAAAGGAGAAGCTGGGGTTGGTGCCTACGACTATGATTTCCCACCAGCCAGAAGAGCAGCCTGCCCGGGAGTGCTGCCCCGCAGGGATGGGCCCTCGGTGGGTGAGCAGCTCTAGTAGGGTGCAAAGACGATGGGGCCCGGCGTGGTGCGGACGTGCGCCGGCGGCGTTC